CAAGCTCCTGCAGCCAGAGCCTGGCTTTGGTCTGCATGACAGGATGTGCTCTCTTGGGGTCTGTATGGCAAGGCAGGCTGCCCCAAAGGAGTCTTGGGGTCCTTTGGGAAGTGACACAGTGAGACTGCAGGTGCTGCCTCTCAGCACAGGACAGAACCTGCTGCTGGCACTCACGTCTGCTGATCGCTTTATGGCTCACTGTTGTAACTCTGGAATGTTCTAAAACATTCATTTCCCACAACTCTTCCAGGCTTTGGGAAAACTAGATGAAAACTAAAATTAAAAAACAGGTGGTAATAGTCCTGGGTCTTCCTGTATCCTGAGGGACACTTATGATTTTGTGAATTTGCAGGTTAAAAAAAAAAAACAACAAAAAAACAAACAACTGGTTGCATCGACCCCTAACTTTTTCCTACTTCTTTCCTTTAGCAACCTCTCCAGGCTTGCCTCCTGCCCTTGGGAGTCCAGCGGCACAGCCTTGGGCTCTGTCCTGTGCTGCCCAGTTGCAGTTCAATAAGCTGTTATCAGGCTGCAGGTCTTGGTTCCTGCTGCTTATCACCATCCCTCCACTTTCTCTTTTTATCACCCTACTTCTGGCCTCACTACAGAATGTCTTATTGTACCTGTCCTCTGGGAGTCTTTCCTATAACAAACACTGGATTGTTCTCCTGCCTGGCTTCCTGGTTTGCTATCAGTTATAGCTGCTGATACTGACTGTGAGCGTCAGCCCAGCTCACGAAAACAGAGCAAAGCTCAAAAACCCCAAACCAGACACGATTTGGCATCAGACGAATTTTTTGGTCAGTGAAAGAGCCTAAACGGTTTTGGAAGGACAGCCTTGGAAGATGACAGGACGTTAAGTGGCCTTCTGACTTCTGGCCATGCTGTCCCTTGGCTGCTTCTCTTTGAGAAGCTTCCAGTCACATTCCTTCCTGGAAAGTGGAGGAGGGGGCATCTCTTATGCCCCAAGCAGTGATTTAATCAACCTGTGATGCAAGCTAGATTAGAATTCAGTATCAGGCAGACTTGCAACTTACTCAAGCTAGCAGGGAAGTGGCACTGAAATACACATGTCCCACTTCTAAGGCACCAAGCGCCCTTCTTATGAACTCTGTCATGTGGTCAGTTTCCGTGTCAGTCTCCCTCACTGGGTTCTCAGTTCCTTTAGTGCAAGGACTATGTCTTCATTAGGGACCTATGTACACATTAGGGACCGCACACCTCTAATCCCAGCAATGCAGGAGGCTGAGGCAGGAGGATTGCAAATCTGAGGCCAGCCTGGGCATTTGGTAAGACCCTATCTGAAAATTTAAAAATTTTTTTAAAAAAAGAACTCCATGGTTCAATCCCCAATACCCCTTCCTCCCCTGCCAAACAAGCAAGCTGCAGACATGGTGGAACCAGATTCTATGAAAGAGGGATCTTGAGCCACCAAGGGAACAGGATTTGGATCTTTATCTTTACACCACAGCCTGCTTCTATCCCATGGCAGGCTTGGTGCTGGCGGATGAGGTGGGGTGTTGAGAAATTCTTAATAAGTGATACACTAGGGAAGGGTCCTTGGGACTGAATCTGGTGCTTTCTGGGAAAAGAAACTGAGGCTTGTCAGGCATGGTGGCACATGTCTGCTATCCCAGCACCTCGGGAGCTTCAGGCAGGGGGATGACAACATAGCAAGACACTATCTCAAAAAATAAAAAGGCCAGGGGGTTGGGGTGTGGCTCAGTGGTAGAGTGCTGGCATGCAGGAGGCACTGGGCTTGATCCCCAGCACCACATAAATGTAAAGTAAAGATATTGTTTCCACCTAAAACTAAAAAATAAATATTAAAAAAAATTTAAAAAGGGCCAGGATGTAGCTCAGTGATAAAGTGCCCCAGTATCAAAAAAAAAAAAAAAAAAGCCCCAGAATCCGGGGCTCAGACCTGTCACATAAAGAACACTGTTCTACTGAGTGATCAGAAGAATTTTTTCTTCTTCCTCCAAAGAACATTTTTTGGGTGAGATGAATGAGGGATGGGTGCCAATGGGTGACAGTCAATGAGTCTCTTTTACATTCACCCTCAGCAATAGTCCCTTCTTCTCAGGAAGAAGCTCTGTGTTTAGTGTCAGAGGGACACAGCTTTTCCTGGAGATCTTCCAGCTTCGAGTTAATTAATCTCACTTCTGAAGCTGTGAAATCTGAACAAGGCACACAGGTCCAGAGGGGTCTGGAAAGAAAACAGGCCCAGAGAGGTGACACTCACTTGAAAAGCTTGTCTAGAACCAGCAGGCAGGCCCAGGCGGCTTTAATTAGGACTTGGACACTGCGGACTCAGCCATAGGAAAGTGAGGACCTGTGGCAACTTTTTTTTTTTTAAAGATTTAATTTTTTTTGCAAGGCCTGAGTTTTAGACTTCTCTTAACTGCTTCCCCTGCGGCTCTGAAGCTCCCAGCTGTACTGCATGCCCAGCAACTGTTTCAATTCTTTAAAGATGTAGGGTCACTGATAAAGCTAGAAGGATCTTCAAGAACATCTAGTTCTAGTCCAGATTCCTCATGGGGAAGAGGGTATCTTACAGTGATAGAGCTCAAATCAGGTCATAGCTCTAAGAGCAGTCTTCCAAACTCATCAAGGTTTATTTTATTTTTGAGAGCCAGTCTTGTTCTGTTGCCTAGGCTGGCCTTGAATCCCCAGGTTCAAGCAATCCACCTGTCTCAGTCTCCCACACATCAAGGTTTAAAGTGGATGAAATTTTCCATATCCAGAGAATATCTGGAAAGATTCCCAGAGGGTGGTAACTGGGAAGGGAAAATGAGTGGCAAGAAACATTGGGAGGAGGGAGACTTAATATCCACTTAATATGTTTTAGAATTTTGTACCATAAATGTGTTACCTAATCAAAAAATAAATATATTTTTAAAGAACTCGATGACACCCTAAGTCTCCACTGCTTTGTTTTCCCTATTGTCTCATAATGGTGTAAGGCATGGCTTTCTGACTCAGGTTACTCCAGTGTGTAAATGATTCCCCAGGAGCAAGGTGGAAGTGGCAAGCCAGTTGGTTACACTTTGTGGCTAGAACAAGAGGAGCCTCCTGAACCTCAAGCCAATGCTGTCCCAGAGTCCCAAGTTCCTGCCAACTTTAACTGTGGTAGAATCTGATTGGATAAAACCCAGAGAAACACAAATCAATTAGGAGCCGTGATTTCATTCACTTCAGAACAAGCAACAGTCATTAACAAACCTTGATGGAAAGGTCTCCTTGAGCTCTGTCCTTTCCATGGCAACCAAGGTGCAAAGGCAGTGTCTACAGGGGAGTGTTGCAAGGGAAAAGTGAGCCATCTGCTGAAGCTTTTCCAGCTGTAGTAAAAGAAGAGAGGACAGTCAGTGATGTAGTCCATAAAGAGAGATTTTTTTTTTTCAGAACTGGGAATTGAACCCAAGGCTTCACACCTGCTAAGCAAGTGCTTTATGACTGAGCTAAATCTCCAGCCCTCTATGGAGGTTTAATGCAAGAATCATGTGAACAAGTCAGAGAACCTGGCTCAAACTTCCCAAACTAGTTCTTCAATTCAGGTTTTGATTTTAAACTCCAGTTGCTGTGGAAAATTGGAATGTGGTCTGTGTTAGACTTAACAAAGAGACGAATTACAATCCTGCCACTTTCTGTGCAATAAATACTCATTTGCTTCACAGGGTCCTGAGGCCTTACTGTGTGCTGGGCCTCGTGGGGAACTCAGAGGAGAGATGCACTCTTCTACCCTCCTCATAGGTGTCTGTCTACATACTCCTATCTATTAATTTTGTGTACAGAACTATTATTTTAGTGGCTGTCAAACTGCTAATGTTTAGAGTTGCCTTTCTTGCTGTTTAGTGTTCCAAATGGTGTCCTGGAAGCAATATAATGACCCTGCCATCCCTCACCTAACTATATGCTGGCACTATGATAAGTGCTCTATAGGGATATTTCAGTTACTTCTCACATCAACACCATAAGTTACTTACATAGGTTGGAAACTGGGGCTCATAGAGGTTAAAAATTTTTGTGCCCACAAGAAGTATTAAAGAAGGCTGGCCCAGTGGGGCACACCTATGTGATTCAGCTACTGGGTAGGCTGAGGAATGAGGATCCTACATTTGAGGCCAGCCTGGGGGCAAGTTTAGCAAGACCTTGTCTCAAAAAAATAAAAAAAATAAAAAGGGCCTGGGATCTAACAATAGTAGACTGTTTCTAGCATGGTTGAGGCCCTGGGTTCAACCCCCAGTAAGGGGGCGGGGGCGCATAGAGTGCACTCTGGAAGCATGAGCGGTGCCAACAGACCTAGGTTCTGGTACTAGCCAGGTGATTTACCAGCTATCTGGCCTTGGGTGAATAATCCCTTTTAATCTTACTTCCTTAAGAAATAAGTTACTACTATTGCATGTGCTCATCGAGGAGTCTAATTAGAAGCACAAAAACCGCTCAGGAACAGGTATTACGAATGCCCGTTTTCCCCGGTGCAGCTAATAGTATTGTTTGTACAGTTGCGTATGGTTCTCTCTTATTAAGTGCACTCAGTCAAGCTGATCCCTGGGTCTGGGGATACTTGCTCAATAAATGTGAGTTGAATCCGTGAATCAATGAACTGAACTGAAGGCAAGGTCAGTCTTTGGGAGAATGGGAAGGCCACTCATAAAACGTCGATGTTCCCTTAACCCTTCAAGTTTCGGGCAACTAAAACTGTAAAATGTGCGAACTGACACTTCAGGCCCCGCTGCGTAGTTTTGCAACCGGATAAAACGCTGGGTAGGAAAGCTTCTGAAAAAGGCACATCCTCTAAGAACGTGAGAGCATGACTCACACCGGCGACGACCCACGCCCACGCTGCAGCTACAAGTACCAGCCCCCGCTACACCCGCTCTTCCTGGTTTTCCCCGGCAACCCGCCCCTCCGGCATCACGTGACAGGGGTGCCGGGCCGGGCCGCGTCCGCGATTGGCCGAGCTTCAGAACGCCTTGCGATTGGCCCGAGGCCGGCGGGCCTCCGCCTCCCTCCTCCTCCTCGCCGCGGCCCACGTGAGGGGGGCGAGTCACGCGATTTCCGGGAACCCGTCAGGAAGGACATAAACAAAACAAACCCGAGGCAGCATGGAGAGGGGCCGCGGCCCCTGCAGTGGAACCGGACCCATCCCCTGAGCGGCCCCCTCACTTACAGGTAAGTGCCGCTGCCCGCCGTC